CTTTACACGCTATTTAAACTGCCGATCGCGAACGGAACAAACCGTGATTGAAACTAACTGTGATGCCGCTCTTTATTCGTTGCGCTAACTGTCGCCTGTCAGTGGCAGACCCGCCCCTTTTAAAGTGCCAGCTTAATCCATCAATATGCGTTTCGCTGGATGGAATTTATTTGATTCCCTCGTGGTTATTGCCATCCTCGGTCCCACTTTATACCTGTGGACATCGAGGCTCTAATCCCTCATTGTGTCCGAGGACCGGCAACCCGAGGCCAAGGCCAAGACCAAGGACTTGACTCCCAAGGCCGAGGCCAAGGCCAAGGAATTGACTCTCAAGGCCAAGGCCAAGGACCAAGGACCGACCTTCGATCCTCGAGCCGGTCCTCGAGGCCAAGGACCGGCTCGAGGAACACATCCCTGGTATGCATGCATATGCACAGTAACAACATTGGTTTCAGACTTATTGTGATTTTTGTATGTATTCACAGACTTGAAATGTCATCAAATTCTTGCAGTGATTGAGAGTAGGTGAAGCTGCAGACTTTGGAAGTCGTTTACTCATCACAAGCTGTACACAGTACACAGAAAATAAAAATAATACCCGAAAGTAGCCCTTTAACATTTGTCATAATCAAATGGGCATCAAGCACCGAGTTAAATTATGGATCAAGCGCTTACCTGCAGAAGATTTCCTGATGGTGAGTACTGTTTGATGCAGTGGCCATACGGACCATTTCCCACATCTGTGATCCAGACAGTTGGGTTTGACATGGCATCTGCTAAAAATATACCGTGGGGCATCTCTAAGGTAGTTGTATTCCAGTACATGAGGAAGTCGCCTTCTGTTGTAAACACCAGCACCTTGGGAACATTGTCACCTAAAGCGGGAGCACACAACACCATGTTGACAAAAATTGCAGAATAACGTGATTGCTAATAATCGGGATTTACCTCTCTGGGCCACATACACAACACCAGCATACTGATTGACGGCCACCCCAAACACATTCCCGGAGAACAGTTCGGGGTTTTTAGGCCAGTTCAAGTCCAGTTTGTACAATGGCCTGCCCAGCAGCTGGTAGTCCTGTCGGAGGATGGAGATGCCAGCCTGCTGGGGGCTAAAGACGCCATACAGCACCATCATGAGAAAGAATAAAGAGACCATACTGGTCAAGATCAGACAAGTATAGCTTCTACTTTTCATTGGCAGCTATGTTACGACATAAGCAATATCCCTTTTCCTCTGTTTAAGCCTCCCTGGACAAAAGCAAGGATCGACCGAATCTACCAGTGAACACAGTGTTAATCAGATGGCTAATTAAATAATACTGTAGTCGCGTCAACGTCGTTGACTCTTCACTTCCTGGTCAGTCCAGGACATAAACAAAGCCTCGTCAAGTTCAAACAGACTTCAGACAAAAGCCTGGCTCATTATATTTCCGTTATGACCACTAAAATGCTATTTTATGTTTTTTTTTCCCCGAATACAGTTGTAGGATAACAAAAATTATATCTATGTGGTTAATAATGTGCTCGAGCCCCCTTGTATCTTGAAATACTACCGATCCGTAATATTTCAATACATTTTATTTTTTTGAAGGAGACATTTCTACTTCCGGTATTCTATCGACCCTATGACGTGTAACGTAGTGTCGCTGGTGGAAGCGACTGTGGCTCCGAAAGAAATTTTCGTATACTCTACTTATTTTGGTTCGATTTCTGGCTCAGTTCGAATGACAGTCAATGAGGGACAGACACATCCTTCATGTAGTGAAAACCATCGAAGAATTGGCTGCATGGAGGTCGTTGACAGTCCGCTTAATCTCGTAAGTTTCGGTCGTGATGTTGCAATAACAGGCTAACGTTACTGTAGGTTGCGATGGTAAACTACGTTAGCTTCCCCCAGAGCACACCAGCTGCTAACCGTTCTTTTGTCTTGTTTTTTATTGTGTTAGCGTTGACATGCTACACATCTCATACGTTTTGGAGTAGCTTTCGATTTAGGGTGGGTTTTATAGATTTATGGGCCACTTGTGGTTGCACAAAGGTTTGTTGCTGTCCCTCTCTGCATTTTTTTTTTTGTGGAAATGTGTGCTGCTTATTTGAACGTCTTTAGGTTTGTTAGAAAACGATTCAGGATGGTTACATGCTCAAATAAATTATTTACCTTGAAAAAAAAAACATGAAATAAGATTTCCAGTGATAAGCAAGATCACTTTGACAGATTAAAAAATAGTTAACTCTTATGATTTTTTTTTTTAAGGATCAATTAACGTCGTTTGTTTTTCCATTGAAACGAAATAAAAAGGGTGAGCCAAGATATGGTTTTCATTCCATAACATCATATAAATTGCTTAATTATTCAGCTGTAATCAGGATGTATTGTATTGTATTATGAAATTCTTCATTGCATCCTCGTCTGTCAATCCCTACGGTAATACCCATGATATATCATTCATTTGGCATTAATTAACCCTTAATTAGATAAAGTGATCAAAAGGCAATTCTTGGAAATCAAACCGTAGTACTTGGCCAGAAAGATTAATTAAATCAATACGAACAAAACTTAGTTCTACTCCTGAAAGGGTTTCAATCAACCTCAGGCACTTGCCAAATCTTTTAACAGGATTTACACAATAGGTGGATAAACAAAATGTATCTGTCAGTTGTGGAACAATAAATAGGGTTAAAAAGTTGTGAACTCATCTTCCTGAATTCAAGCACATGGACTAATGTTTACAAAACACAGAGGCCGAACAACACCAATTGGAACATCTATTACATCATCAGGAAAGGCAACAAAAAAAATCACCTGACACCTTGCATGGATGTTGAAGGAAACTATTCATTCTCAGGTCACTCGATCCTTCAGGTTGAAAAATTAGCCCATAATAATTTAAGGGGAAAAAAAAAACACTTAAAATACCTATATGCCTCTTTGAGCGTCAAATAATCCCGTTTGGGGGCGGGGTATAAATCATCAATGATCACAAAATCCATCTCATATTTCAATTTCAGCATTGTCTCCTAGTACGATGCTTTTCACAACCCTTGTTTACAGATATGTTTACAGTCAGTGTTTTGAACTTATTTAACCCTTTCAGGGACAGCGGTCACTACAGTCGACAGCTTGTCATGTGATCAGGTTACAGCGTGCATGAAAGGTTTGGACACATCAAATGGTCTTAACTGAAAAGGGGTTTCCAAAGGTTTGACTTGTGTTGTGCAGTGTAGTGTCATTTTCATTCGCAGGACATCATTCCGAATAGAAAACAAAATAAGCCATAATTGCGTATTTCAATCGTTTAACGACACCTAAATAGAACAAACAAGGATGAACTGTCATCAAATTACAATACCAAACTCCTTTTGGAGCTGTAAGCACCGATAATGGCTCCTCCATTCGTCAGCTTTTCCTTCAAGAAACATCTAATTGAAGGGTTGGTTACTTTTGCAATGTGAAATATTGGCCGCAATACAATTCGGAAATCCATTCTTCGCATAACTCTTGAAAGAAAAAAAAAATTGTGGCTCTACAAAGCTAAGCAATTCCGTTTAAATGCCTGATTGTTGTAAAATCGTACTTTTTCCTCACCATAATTGTAACTTGTGCAACTGTGTGTGTGTGTGTGTGTGTGTGTGTGTGTGTGTGTGTGTGTGTGTGTGTGTGTGTGTGTGTGTGTTCATCTGCGGGTGCTTGCTTAGGCCCATCAGCAATGCAGGAAGGCAGATCGTTTGCTTGCTGCTGGAAAGTATGAAGAGGCGATTTCATGCCACGCCAAAGCAGCAGGTAGGCTGCGTGCACGTCGGGCATGTCCATCAGCAACACTTAAACAACTTTTGAGGGTTTTTTTTTTATTTTTTTTTTTTTATTGTCATTCTGCCAATGTTTTATGCGGTAACCTATTCACGTGACCGAGAAGTGCGCATTCACCTGCGTCAAGAGTGACATACTATAGACTGACATAACAGAGAATCTGGTCATTTTTCAAAATAAAACATCTTTCAGATTCCGAAATGAATAAAACGGAAGGAAGTAAGTTATTTATTCTTTCTGTGTGGCCCGGCAACAAATGAACCGGTCCACAGCCCGGCGGTTGGGGACCCCTGATTTATTGCATCAATGATATATTGTAAAATCATGACCGTCTTAATACACCCATTAATGAATGTATGATCGGAATATGGTCTCTTTTACAGAACTTCTGACAGAAGCAATGAAGACAACAGACTGTATACAGGTGAGCCTTTTCCGGTCTGCGGTTTTTGGTCAATTCCAGTGATTAGTTTGCACAATTTGTCAGGTCAAATAAAAATGACAGTTGCGGTATATTTTGAATTACTCTGAGATCAGCATCATCTGAGTCTTTGTCTTAAAGAGGGTGGTCGGATTTTTCGACCTAATAGAACATGGGTCTCGAACCCTTGAGAGGGGTGTGCGACTTTGTTTTTTTTTAAGGCTTCTTTTCGGACAATTTTTGCATATTGGTGAAACGGTGGGTAGAAAGGAATGTTTAATTTTGAGGAGCCGGGAGGTTTTTCTGCTCTGTCAGTCTTCAGCGAAAATCTGCTATATTAGCGCTATGACACATACACACAACATGTACAGCAAGTGTACATATTTTGTTCTTACTTTAATGCCTTGCTGAATGAAATCAATGAGGGGATGGAATACGGAGGAGCTGCCACCAAAACAAAAGAAAAAAATAAAGAAACTTAGAGTACATGCCAACATGGGAGAACACTAAGGAGGAAGCATGCTTGAAGTTCCATTAGCACAACTGGCAAAATTCTGTGGCTGGACAGAACCAAAATTGAATTATGTGGGAAGAACACACAAAACCATGAGTGGAGGAAAAATGGCACAGCAGCACACCAACATTAAAACTTTTTCCCAGCTCTGCAGGATCGTAGAAGAAGCATCGTGGTATAGGTGAGCTTTGCTAACTCAGGGCCTGGACGGCATAGCCGAGTGTTATCATTTAAAAAAATGAATTCCCAAGTACATCAAAATATTTTGCAGATGAACTTGAGGCCACGTCCAACAGTTGAAGCTCAAGGGAGGATGAGTATTGAAAGAAGAAAATGCGTGTTGTGGCCTCCAAACTCGATTTCAGATGCTGTGGCATGACTTCAAGAGAGCTATGCACACCAGACATCCCAGGAATTTTGCTGAACTGCAACAGTTTTGAAAAGAGAAACGGTCCAAAGTTCATCCTGATTGTCGTGTCACATCTGGTTTGGTTGTGGTTCTTGTTTACAAAAGGAGGCTCGAGCGGTTATTAAATCTCGGGGGTGGCTAACTTTTTTCCTCCATGTCTTGTGAATGTTCTATTCTTATGCAGACATTTCATAAATTCCAAAGGGTTCACCTACTTTTTCCACTGTCGCGACTTGTACCTTTGCAAAAGCTGTTTTTCTTTTTACGTGAACTTTGCATTAACTCATTCACTCCCAAAGACGTTTTGAAACGTCTTTTCAGACTTGGTCCAGAATTGGCTGGTACTGAATGAGTTAAACGTACTTAAATTGTGTCACCTTACGTCAGCTATAATTCAGTGTACCGTTGACCTTGCGTGTTTTCAGGCACGCGTGTCCATGGAGTTGCAGAGGGACAGGCATATTAAACAGCAGCGTCTTATCCAGGAGCGCTGGAAGAAGGAAGCCCGTCGGGAGGCCACAAAAGCCAGATCTGGCTTAGGCTCCGCCCTCGTCACACCATCCCAGTCAGCAGGTCAGACTCAGCCCCCAAACCCCACCACACCCGTAGCTGTAGCATGCGGAGGAGGCGTCGAGAGAGAGTACGACACTCTACTCTACCAGCTTCAAACCCGACAGGTCGGAAACCTCCAAGCTTTGACACCCTGTCCCGGCTCTAAGACCACCAAAGATGATAAAACTCGCCTGGAAGAACAACAGACCACCATCGAAGACTTGAGGCGCCTCGTGAACCATCTGATGGATGAGAACCAGCGGCTCACCACCGAGAATGAGAGGCTCCAATCGGAAAACACCCGACTGCGGGCTGAGGCCGCGGATGTCGTGGAGCGCTCTGAGCTCTGGGTGCTCCCTCAGGCTGGGGGCGTCATGGCGACGGGGGGAAACCAGGAGAGGAAAAGCACAGGGAAAGGGAAGGAGATAGCGATCCCTCAGCTGCCCCCGTTGGAGATGCCTGCTCAGGAAGATTTGTGTTTGGATGACCTGCCTCCTCTGGAGCTGCCAGAGGACATCCAAAATGAACTACAGGAGCTGCTGGACAAAGACAAACTGTGATAAACACTTTTTTTTTTAAAATGACACACACACAGACTTCAGGGTTCAAACCAGTTTCTATCTTTTTGGTTTAGATGCCAAAATGTATGGTTTTGGACACAGAAAAGTATCCGTGATGTTCTCCAGGTCTCGCATACCTTCAACAGGTATCATCGGACAAAAGATGATGAAAAGATTGAAAAATATTCGAGTGGTCACGCACCACTTATAAAAACTCAAGGATTATGTTTATTTTGAAGCTTAATTGGAAAGATTGAGAAAATCCTCTCACGGGACACTAGCGAAGACTAGTATTTCTGTACTTTGTGTGATTACAAGGTGATGAGGTCAAAGGGGCCTTCAAAATCCAAAATTCTTTTTTGAGGGTTATTTCTGTGAGGAGATGATGTGAATTAATGGCATTAAACTTGATCAATTATGCCTTCATCTTGATTTTATTGCTCCGAATCCTGAGGGAAGGACAGTCGGGGGCTATATTCTCCTATCTGCTTGTAAGCCTTTCTTAAACGCACCTGGGCTGGCACACTTATCATTTACCTGCATTTTTCCGTCCAGACCTCTGACACGCCCATGAGCGAATGAATTGAGTGCGCAAACAGCAAAAGAGGCGTGATTCATTCAATTCTGAGACTGACTGTAAACTCATGAAAGCATCGAGGTTTTCCGACTCCTTCCCGAGACTTGTGAACGTCATTGAAATCCATGAAAGAAAATATAGCACATTTTAAATTTGAAAATACCTGACGTGTGTCGTCGGCCAATCAGGACAGTGGTCTGGCTAACACACTAACGAGGGAGAGCATGTGTTTTTTTTTTTTTTTTCCTGTATGAAACAAATTCAAATAAATGTAAATTCATCTGATAACTATGCATTTGATTGAATGCATTTTTGGAGATCCACCAATAGAAAAGGGATCGATCACCGGTGCCCAACTTTGGATGACTTGGTGAGTCATTTTATCACGTCAACATTTTGCTGACTGGTATCGAAGCAAATAAAAACCATGATTAAATATTAAATATCTTTCCATTGTGCCATTTTTATGGTTAAAGTTAACGCGACCCATTGGTAAATTATAAATGGGTCGCGTTTTTCCTTAAAAAAATTTAAATGTGTGTCTTAGTTGTGCTAAAAATGGAAAGTTAACGCGACCCATTGGTAAATTATAAATGGGTCCGTTTTTCCTTAAAAAAAATTAAATGTGTGTGTCTTAGTTGTGCTAAAAATGGAGTGAAAAAATGATGTACGTGAATTTGTTGACCCAGTTTTTGTGTCAGGCACTTTTATTTGCTGAATACATAAATATCCCCTGGATAGTAAAAAATCATCAGTGAGTTGACCTGTCTTATAGCGCCACCATCAGGTCAAACATTTAAATTAGAATGAATGAATCTCAAAAACTTTTCTTGCAAATCTGAACATTTCTGACATTAATAGCCACAAGAGGATGAAAACTATTGGTTTAGGTGATTCAATGGCCTGTAGCACCACCATCAGGTCAGTTTTAGAGTTCGGGTCTTGAAAATCTTTTATCCAAATGGTTTAAATTTGGTGTGTGCATTCATGACTGTGACAGAATGAACCATATTGATTCATGTTGGGAACCTCCTCTCACCACTCCGCCCTCTCCATAAACATGTTTACTTATTTTTATATCTTTAACCCATATTTGTGTCATTCACCTTTCCCAAGTAGTTATGTGAATATTGGGACTGGCAGTGGCAGTTTTTTTTTTTTTTTTTTTTAATAAACATTGAATGGGGTCAAATTGACCCCAAGGTTATGAGGAAGGTTAAGTAGGCTGTCTATTTTTGTGAATTATTAATCAGATCATATTTATTTTCAAAAGGATTTTTTTTTTTTGCTGCAATTTCACATTTGTACTCACCATGCATGCATTAATGACTGTCATCCAATGGCTTCACACAGGTGACGTTTTGGCCCTTCAAGATACACATGGAAAGAAAGTCGCCCCCACCCCCATAATGACACAGTGACACAAATGCCGCCCACAGAAAACTGGCATCATTTTATTACATTACGATCCAGTAATCCATAAAACAGTTCCCCAAAAACCTGAGCCGCGTTACTCTTAAGTACACAAAGCTTTGGTATATAATTAGTCGGTTGTGTGCATTTGCGTGGACACGATGACATGACACGATTTGGCCCGTTTGACAAGCCCATCAAAGGCCAAAAGCTGTAACAGACTATTAGCGTGCTGTAAATCACGGCCGTCCATGCGGGTCAACCAACATCTCTGCATGGGCAGCTTTGCCAAAGTGCTGTCAACAGTCTCCCTAACATGTGTACATCATAGGTAAGCAAGCCTCTTGATGGTCGTTTTTTTTTTTTCGTCTCCAAGCATGTATTCACAAATTTTTGCGAAAGTAGAATTTGTCTGATGATGCTCGAGACCAATTGTATTTCTAAATACACTAAAAAGTCATAATGAACATGTTCTTTGTGCTCGACCGATCAAGAAAATTCAATCTACAGCATTGAGATAATAATCATGATCAATCTTAAGCACTGAGCGCAATAAAAAGAAGCACTGTCATCAACCTTCGACACGCCGCCTCCATTTTGGAAATGAAATGAAATTCTACCAGCTTAGCCATTTCCATTGAGTCAGCACGGAGACGAGCGTGGCTCACTTTCGATGTCACCAGGCTGTTAGTTTAAATAGTGTGTGAATACATTGATGTTATCAAGGCTAAAACATGTTTTTTTTTTTTTTTGTGCTGTGTTGTACTTGCAACTACACTACGTTAAAAATTGAGATGACAAGCAACAAAACAGCAGTTTAAAAAAAAAAAAAAAAAAAGCTTTGGGATGAGCTGCGTATCCAAAAACAACTATGAATAATATAAAAGCCCTTCTAATCCAAATGTTACAAAGACAAATATAAAGGACAAGAACAATTTCATACATACCCCATTAAAAGGTCAATTATTTAAAATATGAATGCAACGCTTTACTTTTTGCTCCCATTTTTTCATGAGCTGTGAAAAGTCGAAGATTATTGCACAGGAGTGCCTCAGTTGGACCACAATAAAAGGCCACTTTAAGTAAAAAAAAATGTGCGGTTAAGTTAGCGTTGGTGTCGTCTGCTGAACAACAAATTATTAAAAAATGTGGACTTGGTCAATTTAAGATGAGGGGGGAAAAGGGGATTTGTGGAACTTTGGCAGGGATAAAATGTTCCTGGTGAGTCTGTAAAGCGATCATTTGTGGAAAAAAAAAACTCCTAATATGAAATAAACTCAAGTCAGACAGATGGAACTAAAATACACACACGTATAGAGAGTGGATGTCAAAAGTCTACGCACGACTGTTCAAATGCCAGGTTTGTGTGATGTCAACAAAAATGACAGGAGATAAATCATATCTCAGTTTTCCCTGTACTACTCAATTGAAGAAAAAAAAACATTTTCCAGAGGGAAAGTAAAAATTAAAGACAATAGTGGCAGGACGCCAATTCAAACCTGAGATACAATGTGATTTGTTTATTCTGTACACAGCCACATCTCCGGTTTGTGCACATTTGGGCTCCCACATTACCTCAGATGTTTCTTTTTACTCCCCCTCGAATTTTTTCTTTTTTCAACAGGCCACGTTTATGATGGAAAAAGTTTATCATGGTCTAATTTTTTTTAACCCTTTCAAGGACAGTCGTCACTTCAGTGGACAGCTGATCATGTTATCAGGTTTCGGGGTGCATGAAAGGGTCAATATCCAAAACCTGCCATTTGAATAAGGTTGTGACAACTTTTCATATCCACAAAAAAAAAAAAAAAATAATATATATATATATATACTGTATAGAAGACTATTCAACAGTCAGATTTCAGACAGACGATCTTAAACTACGCAGCAGTGTATCCGTGTGTGTGTGTGTGTCAGAAGAAGTCTCTTCACACTCCATAATTAATGGAGCTCAGCGTTGGTCTCTTCTTCCCTTTAATTTTCAGCGATCCATATCGAGCCTTGCGAGAAGAGAAGTCAGACAAATAATAGGCATTGTGCGTGTGACACCTATAGAATCTTACGATGGACTTTTTTTTTTCTTTCCTTTCTTTCTGTTGTCCACTTACATCTTTACGTACTCGGGACCGTGTCAGCTTGACGCTCTGCGATCGTCGCAGTCCTTTCTGAGACACGGCCTCGTCTTCGGAGAGAGTTGGCTCGGTCTCGTCATCGCTCCTGTCGTCCTGGTCGTAAAAGTATTCTGAGAACGCACAAGACGTCAATGAATTTGGTCCTAGTTTTCGAAATACGCAAAATGCTCTTCTTGAATGTCACACATTTAACCTCAGTTGTCTAGATGCCTGCCGTCGAGAGTGCTTGGAAAGGAGACTAGCTAAACCACTGGTGTCAAACTCAAGGCCCGGGGGCCAGATCTGGCCCGCCACATCATTTTATGTGGCCCGCCAAAGCAAATGATGTGTATCAAACGTCATGTTTCTTGCTAAATACCAACAATGCAAATGGTTTTCACTTTTAAAAATGTTGAGATATTGCAAGAATTCCTTTGCTTCCAATCACTCATTCAGTACCAGCCAAACGTTTTTGGGAGTGAATGAGTTAAAGCAAAGTTAACATTTTGAAAACATTTTAAAACTAATTTAACATGATTACTGGTACCCCGATTTCTAGCCTTTCATCGATTTGGTGCGTGCGTAATCAGAGACAACCATGCATTTATTTGACTTCACACTGTGAACTACGATGTGGCCCGAAACAAAAATTGAGTTTGACACCCCTGATCTAAACCATCGTCTTATTTGTGTGTGTGTGTGTGTGTGTTGGAGTGAGAGATTTCTAATTGCAAATGTTCAAAAACTATTTCAATTAATTCTCTCCAACACCATTTCTTACCTCCAAAGAGAATGACACAATATAAAACGCGCTTTGTGAAGTTACATCGACAATTCCCGACTATCATTGGATCATTGCTTCATGCACATTCATTCATTCATTCATTTTTCCGATCCGCTTATCCTCACGAGGGGCGCGGGGGATGCTGGAGCCTATCCCAGCCATCTTCGGGCAGTAGGCAGGGGACACCCTGAACCGGTTGCCAGCCAATCGCAGGGCACACAGAGACGAACAACCATCCGCGCTCACACTCACACCTCGGGACAATTTGGAGTGTTCAATCAGCCTGCTATGCATGTTTTTTGGAATGTGGGAGGAAACCGGAATACCCGGAGAAAACCCACGCGGGCCCGGGGAGAACATGCAAACTCCACACAGAGAGTCAAATATCCATGTCACCAAAGTCTTTACAACAAGACGTAATATGACGGACAGACAAGACAAAATGGTGCAGGACATGACAATTTTTGTAGTCAAGTCATGACACACTGTGTGAAACTGAAATAATTGTGTGTGGGCGCTTGTATACCTGCTCCATCAGGTACATCAACACTCTGAGTTCGTCTGACGGACGGATTGGCACCATGGGAGCTGTAGCGATACAGCTGGTTTTCTCCTCGCGCGTCTTGCTGATTGATCTGTGTGAGGTCATGCATGCTCAAGCTTCGCAGCTTTTCTGTGATGGCGCCCTGACCCTGTGACATAAAAAAATTTAAAAAAACACAGGCCGACACCCCTTTATTATTGTGACAGCCTCTCAGGTTTCACAACAACCACAACAAAAATGCTCCAAAATGATAAAGTTAGTGCGTTTCTGTGGCCTTAACGCAACCGACGCTACGGCTGTCGCTCGACGTTTCATAAACGGCATGCATGCAAATTTGATTTGGTTCCGATGTTTTCTGTATCGTCTTTATACATTTTAAAACCAAGCTTTAGCCCGTGTCTTCTTCATGTGATTCCCATGGTGTGAATTTTGACAGTTCCGCTTTCTGGTCATAAATTCCAAATTCACTTGGCATTGGTAAATTCGATTTTGATGATTAATTATTAATTCAATATAATTTTTGGAAAATACAACCGAGGTTGAAAGATTTAAAACAAAAAAGCGGCTCAAACTGTTTGATGGTCGAGTTGTACGCTGAAAAAAAAAGGACTTGATTTTTGGGTGCATGATTAAAATGTGTTCATTATTTCTGAGGAAAACATGGGAAAATTGTATGGAATGACCACATTTTTAATCGTGTGACCGGTATAGGTGTTTGAATTAAGTCAATCCAAAGCATTATTTATTTCAGCGTATCTGAATTATAAACGAAAACAATTCTCAATCGCAACAATGTGGCAAAGTTGAGAGTAAGTCAATTAAAACATGAACCAGAAACTGAGTTGTGTTTTATGCAATGACACCCGCGTTGAGGGCATTCATTCGATCGATGGACTCTGCATACAGATAATTGTGAGCAGTCAATAAGTAATATTGACATAAGGAGATGAAAACAATGCTGGTGTGAAATGGCGGTAAGGTTTGATCCATGCAGCTAGGATTTATTATTATTTTTTTACCTCCCAGAAGAGCCTGGTGAAGCACAAAAGCCCTAAGGAAAGAAGGAGGTCAGTATCGAGAAACGAGAAGAAATCAGTCACCAGCGGGTTAGCTTCAGTCGCTCACCAAAATGAGTACACTGCATATTTTTGTAATTATCTCGGGACAAAACTGTAGAAATCACCTTTTGCAATGAAATAAATGATAAAAACGCCTTGTTTAACTGCCCTCTCAAAATAACTCGGCCATTCACTGACAACAAAAGTGACCATACGCTGAAGTAAAAAAGGTCCGGAAATCAGAGCCGATCACGTGATTTTCAGCTGATGGGATTCGGCCCAAAAATATTGCATTTTTAAATTTTCTAAAGTCAATAAATTCTAAGTCAATTTTAGTTCTGTGCTTGATTTATTCCACTGCTGATTTACAACCAGATTAAAAAAAAAAGAAAAATGATTGGGGCATCGCTAGAAATAATAATAGATTTACAAAAATGTGAGGGGTGTACTCGCTTTCGGGAGATACTGTACACAGCAGATTTGGGCAGACCCATGCAAGAACTTGCCATACTCGAAAAGCAGTTTCCAACGCCATTCAGCAAGCAGAGTAAGCAGAGAGAGTACAGATACAGAAACACGTTGGGAGATCCTGGGCTGCAAAAATGAAATGATACCGTATTCAAATGAAAAGAGAACATTACTTAGGAAAAATAAAGTATTGTGACCACTTGCTTATTGCGGGGAGTTACGTTCCAAAAATAAGCCGCGAGAGGTAGAATCTTTTTTTAAAAAAATCATACTCTGTTTTAACGCTGTCAACCACACCATAAACATTTTCTCACATTTCTCTCATTTAAACTCGCTCAAAGTTCAAACCTTTGCAAGATATATGTATACAGTGTTCTTTTTATCATTACTGTTGTTGTTGCGGGGAGTTACGTTCCAAAAATAAGCCGCGAGAGGTCGAATCTTTTTTTTTTTAAAATCATACTCTGTTTTAACGCTGTCAACCACACCATAAACATTTTCTCACATTTCTCTCATTTAAACTCGCTCAAAGTTCAAACTTTTGCAAGATATATGTATATACAGTGTTCTTTTTATCATTACTGTCGTTGTTATTTTAATATTGTTTTATAGGGGAACAAGAGGTCAAGAGGTCAAAGTTGTTATGTCGTGGGTCAAATTGGCCCAATTAGAAAATCGAGGAAAGAAACAAAAAAAAAAAAAAAGATTAAATTTAGTCCACTGGCCGGTACCTGAGCCGGGGCAGAGGTGTGTGTGTGTGTGAGAGAGTGTGTGTGTGTGTGTGTGTGTGTGTGTGTGTGTGTGTGTGTGTGTGTGTGTGTGTGTGTGTGTGCTGTTACAATAAAAACAAAAAACAAAAACAAACAGCATGCAGAATTACACAGTAAAAAAATAAATAAAAATACAGGAAGCCAATTCTGATATTGCAGGTTGTAAGCAGTGAAGGAAAAAAAAAAAAAAAAAAACAAAAAAACAAC